ATAGAAGATATATTATTAATAGCCGCTGAGGGAGTCGTGGTCGGCGGTTGTGAGGAGGTTAATGATACTGTTGGGTGTCAGGGGGAAGGTGAAGGCTATCCGGAAGAGAGTAGGGAACTGGTGCCCTTTGAAAATATAGCACCTGATAGTACTACTGGGGAAACTCATGAGGGACATGTTCCCTCTGCTCAAGAGGAGCCCTCTTCTCAAGAGGAGCCCTCTGCTCCTACTTGGGATGAAACTCCCTGCTCTACAAAAGAGCCCCATGTCAGTACTGATCCTGCTCCCTCCCCTCACTTTGATGCTGAGCCACTAAACTTTGTCATTCTTGAGATGAGATCTCTATCTGAAGAGGAAAATAGTAAGGAAGACTATGATGATATGCATGTAGCAAGCTTCATTGCTGCTCGAAGTAAGAAAGGAGTTCCCGGTGCACCTACTCTTAAAAGACCCACTACTAGGTTGTAAAAGAGGGAGGCTCTTGAGTCTGCTAAAGAAAAGCAGAGAAGAGAATAAAATGAGGAGGTTAGTGAAAGGGGGAAAGCTGGTGAATGAAGAGGAAGTGCCTACGGCACTTATTATTGATATTGATGACGAGGTGACTGAGGAACCCGGTTCCTTAACTCGTAAGTCCTCGAAGAAACCTACAGTTCCAAAACCTAGGAGAGAATCATCTGTGAGCATGATGGAGGCTAGCAATGTTGAAGTAGAAAAGTTTGGGGAGAAGGTAGCTGAAGATTCTGGTGAGAAAGTGTCTGAAAAGTCTGGTGACAAGGTGCCTGAGAAATTGTCTGAGAAATCTGCAGAGAAAGGGAAGAGTGTGAGAAAATCTATGAAAAGGAAGGCAGGTGTCAATGAGAAACCTGGTTCCTCCAAGAAAACCAGGGTGGGTGTGGCCAAGGATGAAGGAGGAGTAAACCTGAGACACCAGAAGGTGCTGTGGGGCAGAACAATTGCCCCTGATATTCTTGACATGACAGGGATGTGTCAACTGGTTAATATTTGTGAATTTCAACAGTGGACACATTTGTTCACTACTGAGAGCCCTAAGGTGTATGATGCGGAGGTGCGCAGTTTCTATGCTGATATGTTCACTGTAGAAGATGACAACACATGCCTGAAGGTGCATGGTGTTGATTTTGTGATGGATGAGGTTGTGCTGGAAACAATTTTGGGAGTGCCTACTGGCTTCATATCATCCATTGAGGGGACTTGCTCTTCAAACTTTAGAAATGCCATTTTGAAGGTGATTCAGTACAGCATGGGGGGACGGGTACAAAAGAAGGCCCTCCTTCTAGTGTACCAATTGTTGTTCGAGATGGTGAACAAGATTTTGCTCTCACGCGCAGAAAGGCATTCTATTACGTCACGAGCAGACTTGTTCCTCATAGAAGCACTGGATACCTACTCCACTATCAATCTGTCGGGTATCATGATTGAGCACATGAAGAAAATGACAGATTTTAAGGATAGTAATCATGGGCTGCCTTGCGAGTTCTTACTCATTAAGGTATTTGAGTTCTTCAAAGTGCCTTTTGGAAAGGCTACAGTGGTACTCGCAAGTAGACCTTCTCCAAGACTAACTTAGAAGAGTGTGAGTGTATCGATAAGAAAGGAGGGGTTGGCATCAATTTCACTATCTCTCAACTGATTGAAGCTCAGAACATTGCCAATGAAGAGATAAGGAAGTTGATGGCATGGAATGTCATTCTTGAGGGACAGCTTAATCAGGCCCAGGAGTCACCTAGTTCCAGCAGTTCACAAGGCGCAGAGGTTACCCGTCTGACCAAGGAAAATGTTGATCTCAGGAAACAGGTCGAGGACCTGAAGGAGAGGTTTCTTAATGAGTAAGTGTCAGCAAATGCTCGAATGGATATCCTTGTTAGAGCCCTTGCCTCTTCATCGCTGCCTCCCTCATCCAGTGCTCCTTAAAATCGTTCCCTTCCCAGTGTCCAGTTCAAGTTGTCTGCCATCTGTTTTGGTCCTTTTATTTTACTGTGTTCAGTGATTGGTACTTTTTAAGTTATTTTATTTTGTGAATGACTGTGTAACAAATGGTACTATGCATGCTATACTCTTATGCTCTGTTTTTATCCATGTTTGTGCGCACACATGTGGCATGAGTTAACCATGCTAGACAAGGGGGAACAAGTTCAGGGGGAATACAGGACATATTGTGGTACATCGGTTCTTTGGCTCTCGGGGGGAACTTCTATTACAAGTTTGTCATCATCAAAAAGGGAGAAATTGATAAGTTATGTGCATTGTTATGTTTTGATGATCTAACAAACTTAATGATGAGAACCAGATGGGGAACCTGTTACACATCCTCAAAGTGCTCAAGAACAACAAGTATCAAATCAGACACAAGTTCCAACAATCAGAGTCAAAGAGATGACAGGAGGAACAAATGGACATCAGTTCCCTTGCTGACTGTACCAATCAACTGTTCACAGCTGTAAAGTTGCTGTAACTGTTCCTCTGCACACACTCGCAACAGTGTGACCAGTGCAGTAGCCACCTCCTAGGACATGACTTGTATCGGATATTACTTTCATCATCCAAGTGATATCACTTGTGTAATATTAACATGAAGCAAAGTGAAAACAACACACTTGCACATTCAAGAATTGATCAAGCTTTCTCTCAAGTGTGTTTCCAAATTGCAAGTGACATTCAGGGCTTCAAGAACAGAGAAACATCATAACGAAGGACCATTTTCCTACATTGAGTTATTACATGGCCCTAGTTATGTTGTACCTTTGTTAAAGTGATTTGCTTGTAATTCCTACTTAGCTTAGCTAGACGCATTGTGTGGGAAACCTTTTGTAAAATCATAAACCTCGTGTTTGTATCCTGACTAGAGCTAGTCGAGTTGTGAGCTTTGTAATAGAGTTATTACAAAGAGGCTTGTAATAGAGTTATTACAAGTGAGTGAGGGGTTAAGGGTTTAATTCCTAGGTTACAGTAGGTTGTAATCTGAACTTGCTCGGTTATTGAAGTTGAAATCCTACGAGTATAGGTCATGGTTTTTAATCCCCGTGAGTTGGGAGTTTTCTACGTAAAACTCCAATGTGTCATTTACTTATCTCTTTATGTGTGTTCTGTGGGAACTGATAGAGAACCCGATTCTCTATACAGTTTGGTGGACCCTAAGTTTCTATCACCCACTTTGTAAAAAAGTTTGCAAGCCTACCCACTTTACGATCAACTTCAGACTTATCGGGTCTGAAGTTAAAAAAAATTAGTCTGAAGTGCAATGCACTTAAGGCCAATTAAGTCTAAAGTGTAAAAATTGCACTTAAGATGCACTAAAGGCCAAATAGGTCTGAAGTAATAAATATTTTCATGCACTTAAGGTCGGAGAGGTCTGAAGTGAAAAAATTGCACTTCAGATGCACTTACGGTCAGATAGGTCTGAACTAAAAAAATTACACTTCAGATGCACTTAAGGCCAAATAGGTCTGAAGTGCAACCAATGGTTTCATGCACTTAAGGCCAAATAAGTGTGAAGTGAAAAAATTGCAGTTCAGATGCACTTAAGGCCAAATAGGACTGAAGTGCAACAAACGTTTTCATGTACTTAAGGCCAAATAGACCTGAAGTACAAATTGCCTAGAAATAAAAATTTATTTTTCGAATTTTAACAATCCAATATATGATTTAACACCTAAATCTACTCTAAATGAGCTCAAATTTGAAACATAACTTCCAAATATCATCAAGAACAAACTTCAATCATCAATTTGTCAAAACAATAATAAATCTAACGAACTCATTTTGCAATTAAGAAAAAGAAGAAGAAGAAACCCTAAGCAATGGTAAAAAATAAAGCGCTACAACAGCTCACTACTGTAAAATATCATAAACTACATTTAAATATGTTCACAAATACCATATAAAATCACTGTCACCCGAAGAAAAGAAGAAGAAGAAGGAGGAGGAGGAGGAGGAGGAGGATAAAAATGCCTGAAGTTGTTTAACTTTGGGTACTAGTTAAAAAAATTTAAAAAGTGGGTACGGCTTAATGGGGGCGACCAAATAAGGCACCCCGCATAATTTTTATGAAATTTCTGACTTCACTGCTGATTGAGGCCACCCTACGTTGTGTGGCTTGGTAACATCTCTATGTTTGTTGGCGTCTCCTGTAATTAATGGTCATGGTTCTGTTTCAGCAGTGGCTGATCCAATTAAGGGTTCGCGAGTTCGATGGAAATGTTGTAGTTACATGAGAGAAAAAACAAGTGTAGGTAGAAATATACATTATTGAACTCTCTCAACTAAGAATTCATGTGTCTAAATTCTAGATCCGCCGTTAAATTTCTGGAGATGGGTTGACGTTAATTCCCATGTTACATCCAGTTACAGCTCATACTTGTAGTACAAACACCTAAACTTATGCGAAAAATAATACTATTTCTTCTTAGCTTGCTTAACCAATTCGTTTCTCCGAAAACAAAAAAGGAAATAACTGTCAACAGCAACATAACCGCCTTCGCCTGAAACACTAGCAAGATAATCTCCCATAGACTGATAGAAGGGGAAGAAGAAAATTCCATTTCCCTTGTATTTTACTCTAGTCCTGGTTGCTGGTAAGTTAACTTACTGAGAGCAAAGAGTGGCAAATAAACAGAAACTGTTAATTTTTTGTTGGGTATTTAATCTTAGTCCCAAAACTCATAGCAGAAGTTCGTGCCCTAGGAATGACCACTCGAAACAGAGTATTGACAGTTAGAAGATACTACGGTATATCGCACCAATTCGTGTCCCCAGCTATCATATTTGTAATGCTTATATTAGCAACAAGAAGCAGCTATTTTTGAGAAATTACCTCAAACAGATTCTAGCATTGACTCAACAGTGCACTCCTAGGTGAATAAGCAATAACCTCCAACAAGGTCAGACCAGCAAATCACTCAAGAGTTAATGATATCCTAACCAAAAATAACAAGCAAGAGCCTAAACCCAGGGCTGTCTGACATAAAAATTAACAGCACAAATACCAAGAAAAACCAATGCCCTCATCTTTCCATTAGCTAGCAGAATCACCAAATAAAAATGTGCCTCGCTATAGTTTACATCAATCCATGTTCTAAATAATAGTTTCATCATATCCAGTCAAAAGATATAAAGACGCAAATCAAAATAACTAGTTCCAAAATTCCGATATTCTAAAGTAAATGTCAATCCCAATTCAAAGAGGAAAGAAGAAGAAGATATCATCAATAGTCCCCCTATTGATATGGCATGTCTTTTATCCGTCAGTACCTCCTAGGAAAACGGTCCATAAACCTTCCAGAGGGGTGGTCCATAAACCTTCCCGAAGGGCGGTCCATAAACCTTCCCGAGGGGTGGTCCATAAACCTTCCAGAGGGGCACTCATAAGCTAGGTGTCCTCTTCCCCCACAGTTGTGACAGATCATCAATGGCATGCAATCTCGACTCATGTGGCCCACTTGCTGGCAGTTTCGACATACAATGTCCCTATATCCTCCTCCCCCACCAACAGGGCGAGCTCCACCACCCCTCTCTTCAAGAGCACCGGCCTTGGGGCAACCTCTCGCCATATGACCGGATATATTACATAGGTTGCACACAGGATCATTTTGACAATCACGTGCCAGGTGACCAGTCTTCCTACAATTTTTGCATGCCTTGTCATTGGTGCAGTCGACTGCAATATGGCCTTGCTTGAAGCAGTTATTGCACAGCTTCAGGTCACCAGGAGGCAGTGGAGGAGCCGCGCAGTCTCTAGCACGGTGTCCTGCCTTTCCACAAGTGTGGCAGATTCCTTCATTTGGACAATCTCCAGCCATGTGGCCTGGCTCTCGGCAATTCCAACAAAGAGATTTTGTGGTACACTCGGAAGCAATATGCCTGTTTAAGTTTTGGAGGCAAAGTCAAAATTAAAGAAGTAATAAATATAACTTGTTCTACCAACATTACTGACCCTAAATTTCGGGCACAAACATGCGTGAAAGCACTGATAGAATAGAACAACTACACCTTCTCAACAAAAGATACATGAAAGAATAAGTAATACATGTATTAGGAAAGCCAAAGAAGGAAGTCATTTTATCAAGCAACTTGTAAACACCAGCAGCATGTTGCACATACACTTCCCTTTAAGACAACACTCTTTAAGACAACACTCAAGCTCGAGTCTGGACATTGCCAGTTACCAAGTAAACTAACTTGTATTTGTTTACTGTTTAATGTTTATATTAGTGATCCTGTGTAAGCAACTACTATATACTGGCAGTTCTAATATACTTGCTAAATTTGATTGTTTGATTGTTTGGGTACTTTTAGAAGCTAAGTACTAAAAATTACATATTATTAGTATTTCATTTCAATATGTTGCTTCCTTGCGATGTGAGTGTCTTCAGTTTTCAGCAAAGCATGTTCGGTTCTGTGTACTAGGTTTCAGGATATCCCCCTTAGTTACCTGTAAGCTAAAAACTATTCAGTGTGCTGCACTTAAGTTAAGGGATATCAGGGTATCTTGCCCCTTAGTACCTATATCAAATATTAAGTTCCGTGCGTTGTATACTGGAAGAAAGTGATGCAAATAAATGAAACATGCAAACAATAAAGAATGACAATATAGCAGCGCCATTAGCAACTTCTGTGATTCAACTTTAATCTGTTGCACAACTGTTTCTCCGAGTAAGTAAATGCAATAGTAATGCTTATGCTTTCCGGTTGGACGGGAAACAAGTAGTTAATTAACACAGAATATTGTAATACTTACCCTGGGAGACCACAGTTGTGACATATGGCAACATTAGGGCACTCCCGAGCAAAATGGCCGGGGCGCTTGCAGTTCTTGCAGAGACCACTCTCACTGCTTAAAACATAAACAAGTAATAACAGAAACCATGAGAAAAAGAAGAAACCTTTCCACCAAAGAGCCAAAAATTGTACACTCCGGATGTTAGAGAGAGTCAAAGAGCAGGTAAAATAGCATACTCCAAGAAATCTGTGTATTAAAATAATTCTTTTTGTTTCCACATTCCTTCTGAACTCATTGAGGAATGTATGCAAATGAAACGTGAGGTATGAGGTCAAAATAGATAGGCTAGATTTTATTAGACTCTGGCTGCATAAGATCCATAACTTCACTAGCAAAACAAAGCAAAATAGTGCTTTAACAAAGAACAATTTTTTTTTTTAAATGAGAAACCTCATTATTGAACAAAATCCATTTCAACTGATCAGAAAATGTAACAGTTCAAGGTATAAAAGATTTGAGCTTAATAAGTCCAGGTATTTAACATAAAAGGCACTAATCAGTAGGGATACTGATCATCCCAATTTCACACTTGAGCATTTGAGTCTTATGGAAGTCTAACATTGGACTGCCAAATCAGTTTCCAAACAGCCACGTCAAAGCGTAGTCTAATTATTAGTCTAACAATTACAGAACAGCATTACACACGTACAGGGAAATATCTTGAGCATAAGTGTAAATTCAGTTCAACACTCCAAACATGCATATCAAAACACCCATATAATAATTAGCCTCCATCCAAGTCGAACAGACCCAGATCTCTTTGCTCCCACCAACAGGTGCTAGAATGAGAATAGCTAAACATA